TTTGCTCTTTTGAGCACGGCGTGCCTTAACTGCAGACATCTTTTAGCCCTTTGGGAAAAGGAGAGGAATGATTCCTCTGTGTATAGTCTAATAAATAAGTGGGTGTTTTCATTTAAATAAAAAGAGATCAGCCAGAGCTCTCAGTGTTTCTGTTGAGGTGTTTTACAATGACATTTAAGAAAAGCTACTGTGCCTCTTACCTAGTGCTGTAGTAAGTGCTGGGAACGGATAGTGGAGTTGGCTGGCTCTATTAACAGCAAGCTGATAGAAATAGAAAGCATACCCCACTGTTCTGTCACTAACCATTTATAGCAAGGAACTCTTGGCTATCTTTATGCTTCTCTTCTTCTTTAACCAACAATAGAGCTCAAGGCTATTCTGTTTGCAGGATGGGCAAGCACAGGTGATGATCAAGGCAACTGAGGAGGGGAGATGCAGAAAATTAGCTCGAAAGCCCAAGAGCAGCCTTCTGCAATCAACGCGAGCATGGCCAGCCAACGAGGAGGTGGATGTGACTGGAATTCAGAGCAACTTGAGGCAGTGCAGGACACAGCTGAGGTGGGTTGCAGCTCTCAGAGAACAACTGTTAAAAAAAAGTGAAGGAGCTGATGCTTGTAAAATTGAAGTATGTAAGAAAAAGGGTATGCAATTCTTCCCTCAAATTCTCACTTCAAATCAGCACCCAAATCTTGGTCCCTTCTGCTCTATTATGTTGTAATGAATAGTTTATGTTTTAAGAGTAGCTTTAGAAAGAAGAGCTGGAAACTGTCTTGCGCTGTTAGCGCTCACCCCTTAGCATTCATACAGATCTGGGGAGTCTGAGCAGTTGTGTGTTATGCATTCTCAAGTTTTTCAAGCCTTCTCCAAACCTTTTTTAAGAGAATCCCAGCCAATTTTCTCCTCTTTATGTCTGTCTTTGTGCAAATTTTCACATCTTCTTCCAGCCAAGTGTCCAAGTATATACTCCACCAGGACATTTCTGACATCTAGAGAGAAATTTTTAAGTCTTCGCTAGACTCACTGCTGCACTGTGGATGACCAAGTTCAGGTATTCCTCTAAATGGGGAGTCATCAACATCTGAGGCCAAATTTCCCAGCACATTCAAATTTACTTAATATTTAGTTGCAAGATGGGGCCAAGAACCTGGTAGTGCTGGCTGGCTGGCGCCTGGGTCTGCCACGGGCTGCTGCTGCAGGTGGGAGGCCGTCAGCCCTGGGAAAAGGCTGCACATCCTTCCTGCGGTATCTGGGCTGCTGGGTAGAGCAGTCGGTATAGTCAGAGAGGAATTGAAAGGCTTTGTCAAAATCCATAGCACGTTTTCCTTATTATAGCCATGCTTCATTAATCAAGATGAGAAACAGCCTTTAAGAAAAGAGCTTCATTTCCTGTGTGGCAGGCTACTACATAATAGGGTGCCTCAGGGTAGAACATCAGAATTTTTCATCAGTGCGTCATGTACTAAAGCAAGCATTTTTCCCTCTACATGGGCTACTGACATAAGAAAGAAGAGTATAAGAGCATAACATCATAGTACAAAAGATCGTCAAAGGGACGGAGCATTGGCCTGTGACTGAAGCCATGGTTAGAAGGTTGTTTTATCCAGCATCATGTCTACAGCAGCTGGAAGATGTAATTCACTGTCCTGTCTCCCCTCGGCAGTAGCATTTCTATGGCCAGGCAATAGGCTGGAGTTACCGAGAGCTTTTGGGGGGTGAGGTTTCAGCCAGTTTGGTTCCTGGCACAGCTCTCTATGGCTCCGCTAACCCTGCCAGCGACACAAAGCAGGCCACAGTGAAACACAGCCAGGAGTGGGGAGGGATGGGGTGGGGGGAGGAAAGCGGTGGTAGGTCTGCGCTCTTCCATGGCAACATGGATTTATATTACATAACAGTAACATAAACTTATGGCATCAGGAGACTTCAGTTTGTTTCGGCCATAGATTGACTGGATGAGGTCAAACAAGTTGCTAAATCTTCTCTTGTTTCTAAGTTCCCCATTTAAAATCAAGGGACATAGGTCTGCCCTAAAAGGGTAGTTGTGATTATTTAATTTGTTAAGTGAGAGTCATAAAAAATACATTGATATAAACTAAAATAGACAGAATGGGTTTTGCCCATTTCCTTTAATTTTTAAAACAATAAGTAGACGAAACCTTGTGCCCTTCAAAACCAAACAGAATTTTTCTTTGTGTAAAATGTTACATAAACCTTAGTGGTTGTTCATTTTTATTGTATTACTTTTAATAATACTGCAGATATTTCAGAAAAGGGCAATATTGTTTCTGCCGCATAAAAAAATCATCACGAGTTGTTTTCTGCATTTTCCCCTTCATATTGTTTCAAAAAAAAAACCACCCCAAAACCCCAAAAGAACCCACAACACAAATACTATTAAGAAATTCGCCCTCCCAGATCCCTCCCCACAAAAGAAAAATATTTTTTAAAAATCAGTAGTGTTAAAGAAGTCAGATATTAAATGCACACATGTACAAGCACAGCACATTAGTAATACTGTATAATACTTTAGACCATGCCAAACCACATGTATGTGTATAAAGCTACGGGTGAAATGGTTCATAGCAGCAGAATAGGAAGCATGTTCCATACCAAGTACATAGTTCCTGTGGAGATATTTGGATGAGTACAACAGTTCAAAGCACACCAAGAAGCTAAAATGCACAAGTCAATTTTTCCTGCTACAGCAATGCGTGTTATGATTCAAAGGGCAATCTTGACTTGGCTGGGATTTTTGTTTTGTGTCTAATGCATGGCCAGTTGAGTGGTGTGGGTTCCTCCTCTTGGCACACTTTACTGTGAACATTCACGAGGAATCCCGATTGCTAAAGATTACTCCATTGAAAGCAAGGCTAAGGGCCAAGTGTAACCCAAGAGCGCATCTACATCCTTCACTGATAAGAAAATGTGTTGACATTTACTCTGGGAGGGAACATAACCCATCCTAAGGCCCATCTGTGCCTTTGGGGCCTTACTTCTGCAGCTCTGGTGGGTGGAGAGAAGGACCAGAAAGGAACACTGGAATAGAAATGTTTATGATTCATTAGCACTTCCAAAAATGTTAATTTCTAGGGTTTGGAGTGGGCATTTTTTCAATATCAATTTGTAGCTTTCAGTTGCTTCACTGTCTTTTCTGTAGTTTTATAACTCACTCTGTGGTGTCAATTCTGGGAGCATTTCTCTTCCAGAAGTATCATGTTCCAGTGGGACCATGATTTTCATTGGTAACCTCCAGTTCTGGATGCCAAGCTGAAGACTCCCTCTGAGGGAGGCCAGCATTCACAGGATGATGGTTCTGTGCCTTCATGAAAGCAGGCTCCTTCAAAATGTCCTTTCTAAGCACCTAATGATGGAGACGTGCAAAGGACTTAAAATATTTGAAGTAGAATTGTGGTAGAGAAGTTCTCTCTTAGGCTTCTACCTTACCACACAAAAAATACAAATAAGATGAAGTAAAATTAAATAGATCTATTATAGTCAATGATGTGACTTGAGACTTGAGCGTATGGAAATGCTTTTTAAGAGGTAACTGTAAAATGTCAAAGAAATGCTGACTACCTGTACAGTTCTACGTAATATTAAGATATGCTTAGAGACTTCTAGTGAAATGTTTTCCTCTGTAGAAGGCCAGCAGCCACTTCTGTTTCTTGCAGCTCCAGGCGCTGGGATCTGAGCTTTGGTGATTTTGAATTGCAGAGAAGACAGCAGATGTTATGACATTTCTTCTGAGCTGTCTTAGGCTGCTGCTTGTTTCTCTCCATCAAATACTCCGCAGTGTAGTACAGTATTCTTCACAGGTTTCTCATACAACCATTAAATAAAAAACCAGGACAAGAAAAAAAAAAATTGTCCAGAACAAATGAGAGTGTTTGGAATATTGGCAGAAGAAAAAAAAACCAACCCCCAAAAAACTCCCCAGAGATAGTCTAGAGATTTTGATACTGGGACTAGCATTTGCATACCTCACAGTAGCAACTGTCCATCAGCTGGATTCACATACAAAATCTGTTTTAAATACAAGGGACTCGGTTCATACAACTGATAGAATCAAAAGGCCTGATATCACAAACCCCATACTGCTCCCTGCAACTCCTAGCATCCCTGTCTTCATTCCTGCACCATACATAAATTCCGTTCAGGACCAATTACTCTAGCGTTCCACCAAATGAGCTCCTATTCTGACTTCGGCGCAAGCCTCGATACCTTTCAGGGTAGAACAATCAGGGCCTAATCCGAGAGCATCTAGAAAGTACCCTGAAGATGAGAAAAGCTATATAGTGCTACATATTGTCATTACGGGATCCTTCATTTCTTTTGAGGGGAGTGAATAGATGCACAGACAGACAGACTGGCAAGCAGATAAGGAGACAGAGAGGCCAAGGTATGCAGAGCTCTAAACCTGCCTTTTTTTTTTTTTCCCCTCCTCAGAACATCTCCAGTTGTAACCTTGATCTCCTGTTGTACAAGCATAGACACGTTTCGCTTCAGGGGATGGGAAGTGTCAACCAAAATGAAGTACCGGCCACCCAGACACTGACAAAAATGAAAAAGCTTCAGACGTCCCCTGAAGTAGCACACATCATCTTGGAGACCATGGACTTACAAGAGCGGCAAAATTCGTAGCTCTTAAGAAATATTCTCTATCCAATCTCCAGAAAAACCGTGACTCAGAAGTGGGCCCATTCCACCACATTTTTAGACCTGTTGAGGCAAACGGAGGGTGGAGGGAAGGCGGTAAGAGCGGCTGAGGTGGTGCTTCCTGTCGGCTTCCCAAAACTTGCCCTGAAAGAAGAGCTTGCTTAGGTGCAGAGCTCGGTCTTGCAGCTGCCCTGGCTAGGGAGGGGCTGAATCCCACAGAGCCTGGTGCCTCAGCTGGAAAGGCTCCTCGGGGTCCCCTGGACTTTGGATACAGCCTGCATTTAGAGAGTAACACGCAACAGCAGTTACAAGCCACCCCCCATCTCCTCACAGTTTCTTCCGATATAAACAAAAGGACATTCTGGTCCCCTTTATATACATACATTAAAAGCTGCAATGGTCTGAAATGCTTACAGATTAGAGTGCATATATCTATACAACATTACATCGGACAGAAATCAAAGTAGAAAAGTTTTACAGCACATTATACAGGTCCCTCTAACTTCTAAAAAAACATTTACTGAAATCACCATATTACAAGAAGTCATCACTAACATAGCATATAATACTATTTCTTTTTCTTTTACATAATCATTACTTATATAGTAATTTTTAAAAATCACTTTTAAACAAGTATACAATTTTCACTTTAAAATTAACTGGTTAATAAAGTTTTGTGCAAAACAAGCCAGCCTCTATAATTAAGTGAATTTATTTATTTATTTATTTTATTTATACAAAAAAAAAAAAAAAAAAGAGAGATAGTTCTTTCAGAAATGTGTCTCCTTTTCTGTAATGGTTGAAATGGTGCCATCTCCTTTCAGTTTGGCATCGCAGTCATTTATTGCTGCACTGTAGGCTCCTCCTCCAAGTTTCCCTCTCATTTTCAGATCTGAGCTGGGTGTAATCAACTTCCTGAATTTCTAGAAAATTTGAGAAAATGGAAATCATAATCTTTTTCTTGGTCACAGACACATTTCTTAAACAGATTGACTATAAAACCCTTTTCGCTTGCATGTCTGCTTCTCATTTCCCCATCACAGGCACATCCATAAACCTACACGCCGCACAGTTCTTTACAAATCACACCAGACCAAAGGGAAGAGAAGGAAGGTGAAGACAAAGTCAAAGGGAATTTTCATGCTGATTTAGAGCAACATTCCCTTCCATGAAGAAACGCAGCACAATGCTCTGGGTAAGGCCTGTTATATGGGTACATTTTGTTTCTCATGCTATAGTCAAAGCATATATGCTGGAAAAAACCAAACAAAGAAGGGACTGCCAAAGTGTATTAACTACAATGAAGAACAGAAGAAAAATATGTATGTTCAGCTGAGAACTTTCTCTTTTATAGCAATAACATCAGTAGCAATGCTGCTGCTGCTGCTGCAGGATGTCGGCTTCCTGAGAAGCTCCCAACTGTAATTAAAACCCCCTCTCATTGTTCACGTTTGGAAAAGATAATGACCTGTCTGCAGTGCCTCAGACTACCAGGCAATGCAAAACAAGGGTCTATAAACAAAGTCTATTTACTTGCAAGGACCGGGTAAGGTTGATGCATTAAGGAAATATTTCATGTTAAGATTTGTGCAAAACCTCCTTTTTTGACATGCTAAGAAAACTATATTATGGACGATTCATTTTTTGCTTATATACCACAAATAAAGATTTCCTGAGTAGTCTCCAGGCCATACGTAATCAGCTTAATGAAGTCATTTCAATATGGACTGCCATCAGCCAGCCCAATAACACCCCAGTGTTAGCTTCTCCGTTCAAGAACACAGTCACTGTTACATTGAGATATACTCAGGTATATTCAGAGGTCATACACTTTGGTTCTGAGTGGAGGATAATTTTGAAAGAGTGGGTATACACTGTGAGACAGATCTTTCAAACATGCCAGATAAGTTAATGAGCACCAGACATCCTGCGCACAGAAATTCCTTGCTCTTCACATTGGCGTTATCCTAGCGAATATCAGAAAGGCTGAGAACGCATGAAAGGGAGCGAATAAAGTCCCTTCCATGTGTGTGCTGAGACAGAAGGAGGCAATGCTGGGATGCCCTTTTACTGACTATTATCAAAGGAGTTCCCACTGACAGAACCACACTTCTCCGGAATATGAGAAATCCCAAATGGCCAAAAAAGATTTGTATTCTTGTTTCTTCCATTATAACCATGTTCACTGTGTTTCTTTGCAGAAAAGGTCTTATATTTAATAATTTTAACCTCAGCCCAGACCTGAGATAACCTGATACCAAATGTTAATAAATTGCTCTGAATATTTCTTTTTGCCTCTATTTCTCACTTAGAGAACTGCAATCAGGAAAACTGTCCAGAAGCCATATGTGAGTGCTTGCTACTCGGCTCCTGGAGGAAGATCCTGGCAGCGCAAACATGAGTCACCAAAACCATGGAAAGGCGGCAGCTGACCTGAATGAATGGCTGGCACAAACCTTCTTGAGGGATTTAGCTGGCATTGCAGACATTTTAAGTTACAAATTGAGCAGGAACAGAGCATCTTAAAGCTACAGTATTGGCTAGTTAGCACAAGCTGAAGTCAGTGAAGGAAAAAAAAAGTATAGAAGGAAATTCAGAAGAAAATAAAGACAATTCAGATGCCTCTTTCCATGAGTGACTGAGAGGCCACTGGGACAGGTACATGGCATTGCTTTTTTGATTAAACTGTGCTTAGTCTCACGCAGTGAGGATTCACGCTCCCTTCCCACTTCTTCTTTCAGTATCATTAATCTGAAAATATATCTTACCTCTATGAAAGTGCCTTCTGTCTTCCACAGCTTAATGCACATCCACAAGGGGATACAGATCATGGAAGAGAGCGCCATCATCCACCCTATGCCATAGCCCCAGTCAGGGTATATATATACATTGTTGTATTTCAAAGGCTTGTATTTCACCAGGAAAAAGATGAAGATTCCCTGAAATAAGCAGAGAAACATATTAGCAGTATTTGAAAAAACACTGTAAGAAGAAAAGGATTGACTGCTCAGGCAAGGCCAGTCTCCCTAAAGATGGGAAGTAGAGGTAAGCTTTTCAGTCAGAGAAAAAACTCAGCAATGACTTCTTTTATGTACAGCTTAAATAACATGTCTCAGTAGCTTCCACAGAAATGAACAACCTTTCAAGTTGAAATCCTATTTACCTCTCGATGACAATAAAACCTGCACTTTGATGGCAAACAGTACCTGGGCAGGAAAGATTAAGTTTTGCTACCGTGAACCAGCTGTGATTAAGTAACACAAGCTGTGTTCTCTCCAACCTGTCATGATGAAAAAGGAAAGCCAAAATTTTCAAAGTTGCCTTAATCCACTGTCTGTATCTGCAGTTCTGCAGGCCAGCTCTTTCATCCTCACAAAAGCTCAAATATATCTATCTGAATTGGACAGGTGTCTAATCAAGCAGTTTGGACCATTTAAATTTATGAAATACAGAAAAGTTACTATATACTTTTCTCCAAAGAGATGAAAAGAGTGTATGAGACCAGCGATAGTAAGTTAATTTCAGAGTTGGTGAAAATTACTCAGAAATTTTCCCATGTTTGCAAATGAACTGGCAGAGCTGAAGGGAACCTGGATCTCCCGGTGCCCCAGCAGCTGTGGTTTTGCAGTGCCTATCCGGTATGTATTGGACAACTGGAAGATTTTTGTATCTAATCCTCAAGCACTTGTGCATCAAATTTATGGGCAATCTGGTTATGCTCCTTTTGTAATTTTGCCAGCGTTGGCACCACTACTGCTAGCTTCTGGTAAGGCGGATTCCTTCTCCTTCTTCACGCATATGAGATATGCTTTTGGCCTCTTCTGCTACTTTTGCTAGAAGAAAAAATGTCCTGTCCTCTTTGAAAAATGTCTACTTGCCCGAAGAGAGGGAAGGAAATAGAAGGCTGGAGCAGCAAGGAAACCAGGACAAGTCTGGAGGAGCTTGAGTTATGCTGGGTAGACAGAAGGTATACTAGCAGTGCCAGTGAAAAAACGCCTCCGTTGTATTGGCAAATGTTCATCTAGGGCCCAGAGTTTATTTTTCTCCTATTATTGTGTATACTAAGATTTCTCACAATTCACAGAGTATTTAACAATTTTTACAGCTCCTACAGAGTGGTTTTTAATTAAAACATATGCTGCAAACCAACAGGCGTTTTTCTCAATCGTTGTGAACTATTAGCAGCAGCAAAATTCTAAAAATATGCACAGAGAACCCTCTTTATGTCTAAAACAAGTTATTTGGATATTCTGTACTTACTGCGCAAATACCTGGAGTTAAGACCATCCAGCACCATTTAATCAGTGACAGTGGTTTGTACCCAATCATATCTTCAATGTTATCATAAAAGCGATTGCTGCCTGCCCAAAAGAACCCAAAAAAAAAGCAGATGTAGAACGTACATGTAAGAGGTTCTGTAGGTCAGTATTTAAAACAGTAACGGACTTCCTTGGTGGAGGAGGGTGGAGGTCAGTCCTGACAAGGACCAAGGGAAAAAAAAAAAAAAAAAAATCTGTTCCACTATCTTTGTTATTCAGAGGCGGAAAAAGGCATTACTGATTTTTTTTTGGTAGGGCATGGGAGTGTGGAAGGCCCCACTCCATAAGGGTACAAGACTTTCACATGGCTTTTATGCAAATAGAAAACTTTCATAACAACTCGAAACCACAGCAATTTTCAGCAACTCACCATAAACCCAGCCTATGCAGACACATTCAAATATGGCAACAAAAAGAAGGCACATGCCGCTAGCTGCATAAGAGTCAAATAACTGAAAGACATACATCCCACCCTGAAAGACAAAAACAGAAAAAGGGAAAAAAATACTGTGTTGGCACCAGTAGGAATATTTCATAGCAAACATGGCTTTAATTACACAGTCAATCTGTTGGTTCCCTGGCAATCTTCCTACTAAAGTTGGTTCCTTCTTGAATAAAGAATATTCATTTTTCAGCGATTTGTTATTGTGAAAGATTTTTTTCTTCCATAGCACTTAAGATTATTCCCTGCGCCCGTTGAATACAGTGCATTTGCTTGAAGGTAGTAAATCCTGGAGTGGAGAGAACTACATTTGACTTGTTCCCCAAATGCTCTCCCACTTCCATGCTTTGTATCAACTTCATTTGTTATCACATCAAGCTGCAGATAACTACAGGTGCTTTTGATCTCCAGATCACTGCACATGAAGATGCAGGGGCTTGGATTTGTGTCTGTGCTATTAACACGTAAAAGAATTAGTTAAAATGTGGGGAAAGAAGGCAAAATCTGTAGCTACTAGAATCACCCTCCAACGGCATAGGGACTGTAAAATGACTAAACGGACTTGTAAAGTTTGAATGTAGCTCACAGCCTTTCAGCCACATTACTTAACCGAGTCATTATTACTTGACCAAAAAAAATTGAAATAAGAATCACCCGGACTCCAAGCAAGCTTTTTAAAAATGTTTTTCTAACAAGTTTAAAAATTGTTCTCCAGATGGCTTTAAAATAGAAACATCTGCGCTTCAAGAAAGGAGAGCAACCAAAACCAAGCAGTGTGCTAACTGAGCACAGCATCCGTGCACAGTGCCTTCAAGGATCAGCAATTCTCTGCTTTCAGGGGTGCCACAATACCAACCACTGTGAAAAAGGTGAAAGTGCTTTTAACTAAGATATCCTCACTTACTGTTTGACTAGGACTCAACTGTATCAATTTTCACATCTATCACAGACATAACTCTTTTCTTCCTTTCCTGTATTTTCTCACTTGCTTACAACAGCCAGAACTGTTCAGAGAACTGGCTGGCTTTCTAGAGCATTTGCCTCGAGGCAAGATGAGAAGAAAACCTATGAAGCCCAATTAATAGCATTATGAATAATATTACACTACCTTCTCTGCAAGATACTTAATCTTTTAGCACATATGCATTCAATATTGAAATAATAATGAGGAGGAGATTCACAAAAGAGCACTTTCAATAGAAAGGAATCCTAGGACTTCCCTCTTTGCAGAAAGCTACGTGAAGGAAAGAGGGGCTTGAGATCAGCTCTTCAGTTGCAATGTAATGCTATTTGGGTAGTACATATGATCCGTTACATCTCGGACCATTTTCTGCAAATGGAAGACAACCCTAAAAACATAAAGAAAACTAAATCAAAAACAATACCTAGTACTTTCCCCTTTTTTTCCCTCTGCATTAACTTAGTGAAGGTAAGTTAAGATAGACTCTATAAACATGAAATCCCGCCTAGATCTTACAGAACATAAGAATGTTCTAAAGTTTTATATACAATAACTGCATTGATGTCCAGTCCAAGCAGGCATTTGGCAAAACTAGTGCTGTATAGTTAGGAAATGCCCTAAATGAGAAAGCTTTCCCTGTACGGTAAAATATCTTTTATGGGTAATCCAAAGCCTGAACAAAATTCCAGGAATGTGTGTTTAGAAGTGCAAGAGAGGATTGGATTTGTTTTCCCTTGGAAATCTCGCCCGTGAATAATGCTTTGATGCCTCACTGAAGTGCCGTGGAATGGAGCGTTCTGCATGGGATCACAGCTACTAGGATTGCCTAGTAACATCTCAGTAATAACTTACATCTCTCTAGCAATACTGAGAAAAAAGTGTTTCTTCCCTTAAGGTTTCTGTTAAGCAAAAAGTTATAGTAGAAGCAAGGATTTTTTTTTTAATTACATGGCAGTTTTTTTCTCTTAATGCAGATGCTCTTTTGCTTATTAGCTGCATTGCTTTTAGTCAGCTCTGCCAGCTGCCTGCTTCCCAAAATCTCACAAATGAACATCTTTACTGCAAAGAGCTCACTGTCAGGTTCAGCAAATATCTGAGCAAATTGGAAACTTAGAGATCAACCAACTAAGACGATCCAAGGTACGGAAAACAATTCAGCAAAACTCCTGCAAGAATATTCCTGTCATTTTGGAGAACTTGCTTCCTCTTCATGCTTATATTTCTTTTAGCCTGTAGATCTCGATAATATATCTCTCAGTGCTCTGTTTAACACTTGCACTGTAGGAGGAATTATTCCAAAATGTCCCCATTTTACATAGCAAAGACAATTTATCTTACTGAGGGAAATAATGACTACAGGCAAATTGGTCCCTGTACAGTTGCTCTGCTCCAATGCTCATCTCATAGGGACACACATCTGGAAGGAATTCGCCATCAACCACTGTGAATTCCCCTGCTCTCTCAGGGAACTGAGTCACATAATACCTTTCATAAACCAGCAATCCAAATTCCAGTTAAAGCCAGAGCTGTTGTTCTGGGAAAAACTCCTAGAACCTCACTGTTCTGATGGATAGAAATCTTTCTTAATTTTTAGCCTAATTAATCATGGCTAGCTTATACCCCCTGGGTTGGGAATGAGGGAAAAGGAGCCGTTCTTTTTGCTGAAATAGTTCATGTTGATACTCACGGTTACATCCACGATGTACTTACAGAAAGCAATCATAGACCCTTGCTAATATTATCATCATTTTGCTAGTTTCTGGTAAAATGGGCTCTGTACTCCTAGGATCACTCTCACTTACTCTTGCTTTGTGTGCTGCTCCAGTCTGAATACAAGTATCCAGAGTCACACATAACATTTCAGCGGTACTATTACCTTGTCCAGTCATGGGACTATTCCCGCCTCTCAATTGGAAATACCTTCTTAGTGCGTAGTGTCACATCCAGATACTTCCCTTTCCTAATTGTTTTCAATGCCTAGTAGAAATGTTTACTATGATATGGGTGAATTTATACCTTGTGCTACTATAGTTTACCCCGTCTTCAGTACTCCAGTCATCCAGTCCTTCCCTATCATTAAGCCCAGGAACATCAGAGTTAATAAAGCCTGATTTGAACTAAATTTTATAGATGACTGTGGGCCCTTACCCTTCATGCACTCATTAGGCTACAGCTTCTTTGTGAATTCTCTGTTATTTACTAAAGACTGAACTCATGCTTTGTTCTTTTGAACAATAAGGACACTTCTAGGGCTTCTCTACCTGGCGGCCAACTTTTGTGAACGTTGAACTTTCATGAAAAAGGATTTATCTTTGAAACTTCTGTTAAATTGTCTGAAATCTGCCAATAGGTTCAAAATTTAAAATGAAGAAGGAATACATCACCAGAGAGCTGTCGCACGTAGCCAGTGACTCTGTGTGACTTGTTTCCACAGCAAGTCAACTGCAGGTACTAGATAAAATTGCTACCTATCGCCGTTTCTGTAACTTCACTAAGAATCTCATTTCAGCCACTTTTAACACCAACAGTCATCATCTCTTTGTCCAGTTACTGGTACCAGTCCTTTTCTTTTGAATAAAATTAATCATTTTTCTTGTGGTGAATTTTCAATTCCTTCACTGAAGTATATAAAACCCCTACTGCATTTGCTTCATACAGAGTGTCATATCTCTTACCAGAGAAAGATACCTGATTAGTCTGGCACAAAGTGTCACTAAAAAAAATAATAGAAGTTTCATTTTGTCCTAGTCTCCACTTTCCTCCCCATCTTTAGTTCTTCTTTCCTTGAAAGTATATCTAAAGATTCTAATTAGTTGATTTATTCTATTTGTTGTAAAAATTTGCATACTGAGGACAATAAACTAACATGCTTACAATTGCCTAACACCTTTTTTGGGTGAAATTTGCTCATTTTTAGTAACAAAGCAATTTGACAAGCACATAGGCTAAGGACTGTGGATCTGTAGAGGGAATTTAAGCGAAACCCTGGCTGAGATCCCTGCACAACAGAGACACGTTGTGGCCCTTCACGGTTAATACAGCCAGGCTTCCTCGGACACACGCTCCTCAGACATTTATTTCTACAGCTCCTCAGACATGAAACTTTTTTCTTTGCCTCGCTCCCTGGCACAGGGGGGCTCTAATGGCCCAACAAGCAGAAGAAGCGGGCAGAGGAGAGCGTGGACTCTGCCCATCTTCTTCCTATTTGGAGAGGGTAACGTGAAGGAGAAGATGCCTGTTGACAGAACTCACTCTGCAAAGCAAGCACTGAGCAGCAAGACTGAACTCCTGCCACGTACCAAAGGATCCCCGAGTCCCTCCCCACCCTGGATACCAAACACAGTGGTACAGACGTTGTATCATGAACTGATGGGATGGATTGACATCCTCAGAATTTTTGGTTTGGAACATCCCAAAGCAAACACCCTTGTTTGTTTGGAAGAAAAAAAATTTAAAAAATATTTTTTTTTGCCCCTCTTACTGAAGCAATTTCTGCTCAGCGATTGGCTGTATTGATTGACCTGGCCTAGTGATATAACAATCGAAGATGGTTTAGTTTTCTATTTTCACTTTACTTCATCTTCTTTATTGATCTATTCATCAAAAATGTAGTTGTTTTCAGTCAGGTCTCCCAGAGTAAGTAAGCAGAAACCACAATCAGTATATCTGCTTGGCTGGTGCAAAGCAGATGGAATTTCCTTGGCTACGTAACTTTGATTAAAATATTTCCTAAGCTCAACTGAAAAACTGAGGATACATTTCACATTTCAAATGTTACACAGTAGTTGAGAACAGTCTCTCAAGTGTGTTGTAGTCGTGTTCCTGGCAGTGTAGTTGGTCTATGGCAAATGTTCTTGCATTTTAGCTGTTATGATTATAAACAGAAACCCATTTCCTTTTTTCTGCAGTAGTACAACAAAGCACATCTTACCTCAGTTAACATTATTAGGCCAATGAAGTATGACACAATGGAAAGGCCGAGAATCAACAGTTCTCTTCTGTAGCCCCTTCGGAAAATCTTTGGGTACATATCTACAACAGCTGTCACAAGGCTTTCAACACACACGAACTAGAACAAATGATAGGAAAGTACACATGAAATATGTGTCGCATCTGCTGTTGGGATTTGGATTTGCTACTAAACACTTCAAACATCCTTCTATGATCTCATCACAGAGATTGAATGATCCCTGAGGACACGCTGTAAGCAGAAGATCAACCTGAGAAGAACGTCAATTCAGAATTAAAAAGTCTGAAGCCATGGATTTCCAGTCCACCACCAAATTCAAATAGTTGAATCCAATATTCACAAATATTCACTATATCACTCAGGGCTCTGGAGCAAAGTTGCTAAAATAGGCACCAAAATTACTGCCCCAAAGTAGCCAATATAAAGCCTATTTCATTGGAACAGTCAGGAGTAGAATTCAGGAATCGCTCATTTTAAAAAAGATTTTTTAAAATATGTTAGATCAGGAAAAAGAGCAGTTATTCAAATGTTAAGTTCAATGATTGGAAGTGTCATGCAAAATAAGCACTGAAGAGCTTTATTCTACAGTATACAATCATAAACCTTCTGAACCAAATCATGCTGAGAGCTGAGCTGCATGCTAAAAATGCCAGCTACTTTACGTTTTTCACCAGTTTTCACAATTTTTATGGGCACATAAGAAGGACAACTTCTATGCTGTCACTTTGCTGCAGAGTATGACTACACAGTTCTTGCTATGGTATCTTGAAATATAAACACACCGTAGGAATTTACATTATCATTATCTGATATTCAGTTTCAAAATTCATTGCAAAGTGCTTAAAAACAGAAAAGATGACACACTGGTATTTTACTGAACTGTGAATTTTAATCACCCATATTTAAGTTCACTGATTTCCGTGTTAATAATGAAAGCTATAGTCAGGCTGAATCCGTGTTCCCAGTAAATCATAAAGGAATCTTCACTATCACACAACTAAGATTTAAAATAAGGAACTGGAATCAGTGTTTTTAAGCAAGGAATTAAGCTAGGGTTCATTCTTTCATTGGGTTAGCTGCTGTTTACATCAAGGATGCTGATATACACATGGCAGGGAATCTGACAAAATATTTAAATAGTGTTTGTTTCATACCTGACTATCTAATCCAAGGAATATAAGCATCATGAAGAACAGAGTTGCCCACAGAGGAGAAAGAGGCATCATGGTAACGGCTTTAGGGTAAGCAATGAATGCAAGTCCTGGTCCTGGAAAGGAAGAAAAGAAAGGGAATAGTTTATCCTTGGGTGCTGGCTCTGGCTGAGATGGAGTTAACTTTCTTCGTAACAGCCTGTCCGGTGCTGTGGTTTGGATTTGTGGGTAGAACAGCATTGCTAACACCATTAGCTCCCGTGGCTAATGCCAAACAGTGCTTGCACAGCATCGCTTATTAAACTGTCTCGATCTGGACTCACAGTTTTCTCACTTTTTCTCTTCCCCATCCCACTGGGGTGGGCGAGTGAGTGAAGAGCAGTGTGGATGCTTAGCTGCTGGCAAGGGTCAACCCACCACAACTTAACTGTTCTTTTATGGCAGATAAGAGGAGCTAAATAAAAGACTGAAAACCTTGACAAACTCTACACCTCTAATAGTCTAAACATTTGGTGATGAGGCTAATCACTAATGATGACTTGTTTGGCACATCAACTCTGCCTATGTCCACACCTTTGAAGGTGGAGACTTCTCTTAAGAGATCACTGTACTTTATGTTCTCCTCCTTCCTTGTGTGGTTGTACAGCAAGACTCACGTACCTGAATAAATAACAGCATGTGGTCTCATGATTGCCTTATATAAATTATTAACATATTCTGGAATCTTTTTTTTCCCTTAAGACAGCACTGTATCTGACAATTAGTGCAGGAACGCAGTCAACAGTCAGAGCTGTGTCTTGGAAGCCATACGTGGTACAAGCCAAATCTCTACTGGTTTGTTCAGAATCTGCTCTGCGTTCTTGAGTGCTGCTGCTGGTACATAACATTAATTCATTGGCTGCGTATTTACAGAAACCTTTAAAATAGAACATTTCTGCAACAGCACTGGTAACTTCTCAGATCTGCTAAACTACCATCTCATCTAGCTCATATTTTCCTGTTCTTATGTACCTGTGCCTGTTTTTCAGCTGCTGCAAACTCTCATGCTATACCAGCTTTTACTGAAGTTAGCCAGCCTTTAAAGCAGGGATACAAAGACAGGAGTATCAGAAGGCTGATAAAGGGGCACCTCTGTGCTCCTGCTGCAGTAACTTCAGTGAAGACCTGTTGACACACTACTGCTTTTTCATTTAACACAGTATTTACAAGCTACTATAATTTCCAGAGTTGCTGTAGTCTTTTAACCTTTTTCTGTATAGTTTCTACAATAGTATAAGCCAGTTGTCTCGAGGGCTTTAGAAAAAGAGAAATATTTTCCATGACAGTATCAGTGAAGCCCTACTTGCTTTGCAGTTTTCCTGCTAACCTTGACTAACATCATGAGAGTCATTTCTCCTTCTCAACAGTTCAGCATTATACTGCTTTTCTTTCTGGGCAGCGCTCCTGTTCTTTTTGTTCTGTTGAGTTTTAAGTGATGCTTAAAGATGTTAAGTCCACAAAGGTGTTAAAGAGCAATTAACTTTCATTGGATGCCTAAGTCTAAGTGCTGGTAATGAATGTTAGATGGTTAATTCCTCGTAGAGCTGGGCCTTTCTGCCTTTCCAAACTCAAAACAAGAACTTTTATCTTTAATCAACAAGAGTGTCTCAGTGTATGTCCCTGGGAGAAAAACTAACTGACATCAGGAGATGGCATTACCCCTCTGACTGTTAGAATAGTCTGACTGTTAGATAGTATACATTAAGCAAGAGGACTTCCAAAGAGTTCTCCTAAACAGCTGGTTTCTCATGACTTTAATACCTATATCTTTTTTCTTTTTTCTCTTTTTTTTCTTTTCCAGAAGGAACAAACATTTGTGTGGATTTCGGTCTGTCTCATTTAAAGAAAACCAAATGCTCCTTTCAAGAGGATGTAACACTCAAGGGGCATAACTGAGAAATTAATCTCTGCTAAACAATCTTCTGGATGCTCAGCCAGAGTAAGTTTGTGTTACAATAGCTCCTTGCCTTCATGAATTTGGTGCTGTGCACAGTAACATTAATATTTTTCACACATAAAATGTACAACCATAAAAATAGTTAAGGACTTCTCTTATAGCAGTTATTCTAGTGAATCAGGCACAGGTTTTCAAGAGGAGTTTTGGAAAACTATCTGCAAAACAGTCAGTTTATCCGTAAGACATGGCACAGACTAAGTATTCTGACAGCAGCCTCTGTGCATTTTTTGTTAACTCAGAAAACTGCTTTTGGAACTTACCTGATTCTGCAACTTCTGCAATGGGCACGCCTTGTTCATAAGCCATAAATCCAAGAACTGAAAAGATAGCAAAACCAGCAACAAAGCTTGTGCCACTGTTCAAGCAGCAGAGCATGATGCAGTCTCTGAAAATATAAATAAAAAACACTGCAGTTGATCTCCAGAGCCTGGGTTTCTTTCATATACTGAGCCATAGGACTAATAGAACCCCAAGCTGCAGGAATGGACATTAAATTGTTCATTAAGAGTAAGCTCCCAACTGATACCTGAGAGAAATCAGTCAGGCATAGGCATTTACAGGCAGATACCATCATAATACCCCTGCCTGTGTTTTAACTGGTTGAATTGCAAACCTGTTACTACTCACTTACTGTTTTTCAATATAATCTTTTAAAAAACCTCATGTAAAATACTGTAAGAATGGTGTTAAGAACAATTTTTCTACAGTAGTTGTAATAATGTATTCCAGAAGAGATTAACTCATTTATAACCTATGTAAAAATAGCAGTAATTTGTTTCCTGGAAAAAAGTCCTATGTCCAGTTAAGCTAATTCTATTCCAGTTACAGTATATTGGAAATACACATCCATACAAAATACAACTCCAGTTTGGTTTATAAACTCTTTTTAAGAAGCTGTGGTAATGAAAAGCACCATACATAATCTAAGAAGTGTGTACATGCCTAAAGAAGTGCCTAACAAGTAGGCAAAGAGTGCAGGGAGAGTGATCTCTCAGGCTGATGTATCCTACACATCAAACAATGACAATTACAAGGCCAAGGTGAAGAAATATTTCTTTTCCCAGATTGGAAATGTCACAATAGTAAATCACTTTAAGAAAATGGGAAATACCCTTGCAGAAAGGTGTGATCTTTCCCCAGAGCTCAGTGAAATATCATCGTTCATCCTGCTTTCAGACAGTACTTTGGGCTTAACAGATGATGAGGTAGGAATGATTTATCATGGCAGTCAGTCTTTTAAGACTGTTTGCTACGAGAGGCAGCCGTGCACTTGAGAAAGTAATAATCTAACCTAGATGCCTGAAAGTAAATTGGGATTCTCAGCCACTGGAACACAAGGCAAGCCTGTAGCTCTGTCAAGCCTATACCTCAGTCTGGTTTATTCCCATCCTACTACAGCTCTGAAGCAAATTTTTGTGCAAGCTCTCTATGAGAAGAAATGACGCTGTAAAATCTATCCACATCTTGAATAATGATTCCCATCTTTGTCACAGATTTGTAGTGATTTTTTGAGAATCAGAGACAATTCATATTTTCGAAGTCCTCGCATATATTCCGGCAAAACTTCTTTGGCAATCTCTCTGTCCTGTAGCTTGTTTCGCTTGGTATTTTTATCCTGTAACTTTAGCTCACCAGTTCATTAAGTTGAAAGTGAGGTGACCACCTCCAGCATCTTATTTCTTCACTGATGAGCCCCGCACTGCCTCCCACCTCTGGTCAAAGCTCTTCCTGTTACTGACGGACTCACCTTAGCATCAGGCACGTATGTTCTAGCTGGCAGGAAGCAGGAATACCTTTCAATACTGCAAAGTGAGCGAGCGGCTCAACTCTGGCCATTGGGCCATGGGAGGCTTTCGGTTCCTCTCATCACCTTGTCCACAGTTAATTTTAACCATTATTTTGAGAATGCTTCTTATGCTTTCATAACCATTTCATAGTAAAACATTTCTATATGGCACATAATCTATAAATTGCCAAAGTTTCACCAGAAATGAAAAAGACTTAATAGTCCCATCTGTAGATCAAGACTCAGACATGGAAAAGTCCCGTGATGCTCACACTTCTTTCATGCATGCACTCTCCCTACCACTGTTCATTAGCAGGGGTAAATAGGTCTTTTACAGTACTTTCTGAAAATTCTGAAAATGGTCGGAATTCTAACCTGTTGTTTATTTGCTTTTCATACGAAATTGCTTCCCATAGTTATGCACAGCCAGGCTTTGGATGTTTTAAAGCAAAAGAGCAATCTGAAAGAAAGCAACCAGGAGCACGGAGTTCTCTGTGCTTTGCAGAGACATACAACAAAAAGATCATCTTCCTAATTATTCTTCTCAGTGTGTTTCAGCACTGAAGTAGCTCTGGAGAGATTCTCACCCCAGCCTCTCTCACCAAAGAAACTGGTGAGTTCAATGCTGAGAAATTAAAACTAAGTCTCTCAGTAAGAGATGTTAGAAAGATGTATGTTTTAAACCTTTGGGGAAAAAAAAAGGAGATACCACTTTAGTGGGATGGATCTGGCTTCTCACCAGTCATATGATGCCTCCATTTGGAACAGCCTGTTTTCTGTAGATAAGATTTATTTTGGATCATTCCCAGGCTTCAAATCCAGTTCAAACAACAAGGTATTTTTTCTGATGAATGGGGTGGCACAGGACATTTGCGAGCTGCTGGTTCCTAACCATGAGAAAAAGGCTTGAGGTGGAGACACGTGGCTCCCTGTGCACCTTCTGAGCCCCTGGCAGTTTCTGCTGCTTCCTCTTGAAGGAAGGTCCTAGGGCAGGGACCAAGTGGTATAAGCTGGACAATCCTACATGACTAGATCATCTGTGAGAGAACAAGAGGAGCACAGCCATTTCTCCTCTCACAGGGAAGAGCCACAAACCACAGTGCCGTGGTACTAAATAGTTATGGGGTAGGTATGCATTTCTCCAAGGAAATGGACAAAAGTGAACCTAAGGGGTTTTTCATCATCTCCAGTTAGTGAGGTACCTATTCTTTTCACATAACACAGCCACAGCTCCATCATTTTCTTCCCCAGTTACACAGTCACAGACTGAACACTTGGTTCTCTGGGGACCTAGCAGCGTTTCCTGTCCTAATAAAACATAATGTCCGATTTTAATTTCCACGCTTCCTTTATCTCTGCAAGAATTCTAACTCCTCATCTCCTTCTGTTTTTTCCGCTCAGATAAAAGTGTGTAACCTGTAGTTCAGTCTTTTTTTTCCTGCTACAGAAAGGAAAACTGAGTGGGGGATCTGGATCCATTGATTGTGAAACCAATTACTTTTATAACACAAATGCCCAAGAATCATTGGAAGGAGAACATGAAGTTTTTCTAATTTTTCATCAATATTTTATAAGCGTGCTTGGTAGGAAGGCATCAGAGCCTGACTGAAGCCCAAACTGATTTCAAATGAAAGGAAACCCAAATTTTTATGAAAACTTCACATTCTTCCAAACTAATGTCTTGCCAATCACCTGAATAATTCAAGACATGCATCCCTTAGCCTCTCCCTGCCCAACAGGCAGTATACTGCTGAAAATTCATTCTGCCTTCCTTAAGGAGCTTCTCTGATTAGAGAGAAGAGCCCCCAGAGCCTTTTGCATCCCTCCAGTTACTTCCTGGCCTTTACGGATCCCCTGGAGACCAATTCACATCCCTCTTTTCCTCTTAGACTAGAAGCTTGATGATAAAGGACACATCTTCATTTCTTAAAAGTTTTGTCCATTTGTTGACAGCGTGTGAAATCACCCATTTATCTTCGGCACCACAGTGGCAACATGGCAGCAAACCCCCATTTGTACATGGGGCTCATACATAAAAATTATCCCGCTGAGATGCAGCCTGCAGTACAAAGGAGCGGTGCTGTGAAACCGTATCGCAACGAAAGATAAGTAAGGGTAATAAAAATTCATTTCCTATTCAAAGATGTGAAGTGAATTGTTTGCAATTCATTTACAATGTTAATAATTTCTAATAAGAAAAACCCTCGTGCAGTTTAGGTTTTCCAATTTCCCACTAAAATACCTCATGTCATTATTTTCCACTGCAACTGTCCCTTAGAAAAAAACACCTTAGTAAAACAGAGTGTAAAAAAGAGTGGAAGTGGATGTTACAGTCAGACAGCACACTGCAGGTATTGCAAGAGGTAAATGCATGCCTTGATTTTAATTTTTTTAAGTGCTAGTTAGAATACAAATTTAATTCTGCTTTCCACTGCATAGCTGCTTTGTATGTCTTGCTCTGTTAACAACCCTGTTTAACTCAGCTGCTTTCTGCAGGTAACTTCTGTCCTACTCGTTCCCTCAGATTGCTTAAGAATCATACTTTGGGACACAATACATTTTCCTATTCAGGAAATTTGTGAAAATATTTTGTTAGAGGAATTGCGAAGCTTGAATTCAGTAAAAAGTATTCTGTTGCAGCATCTTGCTCAGGAGCTTTAGAGCGGCTGATGTTTTTTACAAGCTATGCTGCTAGGGTCAGAGGAAAAGAAGGAAAATTACATATAACCTCTCCAATCACAAGTCGAAACTCCTGCTTTTTGTAATGAGCTACAAAACCATAGTAAAAAGATTACTGCAGTCCTTGAGGCAGTGACAGAGTAGTTTCTAGATGGGCTGCAACTGGAAAGAAATAAAAATAAAATTAAATAAGAGAGAAAAGGAGTAGTGCCTTTGTTAAAGCATCGCTTACTGATGCCAGAAGAAAAAAGTAGTGTTCATATTCCTGCCCATGCCAGTAAAATAGAATAAGGATTTGTGCAAGTCATATCCTTTTGACATTGATTCAAGAAAGATTAAAACCTGCTGAAGTCATTCGCAATTTCCTTAGTGATTTCTATAAAGATAAGCAATGCAATGCTATCCGCTTCTACTGTGCTTTAGCTAAGAGCCAATAAACTATGGGAAAAAGTGACATTCAGAGCATAGACCAAACTTAGGTGAGTTTTAATAACAGTTTTTTATAAGATTTTTTTTAAAAGCAGATATACATTATACAATCAAATACTGTGCACACACATGCAATTATACATGTATCAAATTATGCATATTATACATGCAATTGTGTATACCTGTGTGTACTAAGTAGCTTATGGCTATGCAAGGGTCAGATAAGATCATAAGGGATGAAAACACCAAATTTTGGAAAAGAGTTCCTCTGAAACGATTATAAGAAACATTATAGATCTCTGTTCTACAAAAACATGTCCACGTGCTTATGATTACTCATGCGAATAGCTAAAGGAAAAGGGATGTACTTCTGAGTGAAGCTAAGTGTGGGCACTTCCATCACCAAAACTAAATGTGTAAATAAAGTGTGGAAGATATTACCTGTAGCAGTTATTATTATAGTTGTTGTAACTTCCCAGGGCTGTCAAGCACCCCAAGCAGATCGCATAAGAGAAGAATATCTGCGTGCCGGCGTCCACCCACACCTGAAGGCAAACAAAACGGAGTGGTTAAAAAAGATCAAGACGGAATCACCTTTATGCATATATTGACTGCAGATTTGCACAGATGGCTGCACAGGGTAATCATGGCTGGCCAACCTTTTATAAGTCACAACCTTTGGAAAAAAAGTATGCTGTGAGTTAAATTTCCCTCTCCCTCCCAGTGGTATAAACAAGGAGTAACTTGGCTGGTCTTCACAGGTTCAACCTAATCTAAATAGGGAGATGGAATTTCTGGAGAAGAACCTCACCCAGTATAAATTCTTTAACGGTTTTATTAACACTGTAAGGTGTTAGTAATTGCAACCGAAATAGAATCATCTGCATTTATCTCATTCTCACTTGATAATTATTTATTCAAATGTAAAAATTCAGTGTGGAAAAAATACTCTAAAGACAAAATATGCCATTCACAGATAATATACAAATTAGGCTGGGGAAAGAGAAGAGACAACTTATCCAGGGAGAGGTAGATTTTTTTTTTTAGCAATACTTAATGGCCCCAAATTAGGCACCAGGACATGGTTGTTCTGGGCATTGTACAATTAACAAATAAAAGTTCTGTAGAGCTTAGCAAGTAACTTTATAACATCATTATGGTAACATTTATATCCTAAAGTGGTACAAATACTAAATTCTAAATCAGAGAAAAGAAAAAAAAAAAAAGGAAGCATGAGCTGACACAGTGAGATTATTCTCCTCACAGCAATCTCAGACCATTAATATAACATGCAATTTTTTTTATTTTAAAAATACTCCAACAAAACAGTTCATTTCATTCAACTAGAGTGTGAGTGTGTTATTACTGGAGGTCAATATACTCTTTTAACTCCTGATTTTGCCATGAGAGCAATGTCAAGAACCCACATCTACACAGCTGCACTATTATTTCTAATCCAATAAATTCTGACTCCTGGTTTCCTGGTATAAATGAGCTCGGTGAGGTTTGGGTTTTCTCCTAAATCAGAGCAGCCAAAGTGCTTTTCAGAGAAGTAACAAAACACTGACTGATAACCAGAGGCAATAGCTGTGTAGCCATTAGCTACTCTAAGTTTGAGACAGGAAAGAGGTAATGCAGGTAGTGATTTCATGATAATAATAGTAATACTAATAATAGTAATCAAATACTCATAAATATATGAGGGTGATGTATTTGTTTTACACGTGATCAAGTGAGACCTCGATCTCCGGAGCTGTTCAGAGTGGTTCTGTTTAGGAATAACATTAAGATCACATTTGATTTGCATCAGCAGCTTAAATGGTTTCACTGCTGTCATACCGAATAAGATACAGCTGGTTACATCTCAAAGTTTCACCACTTGGTAAGGAAAAAACTGCACAGAGAAAGCCTTTTGACAGACAGGCTCTTTAACAAGATCGGAAGCTCCCGAAAAGCTGTGAGTAGCATAGGTCAACTGAAAATGCACGGTCCTCTTAAGCATAAACAAAAGCTAGGAAACTGGATCGGCACATGTAGAATCTGCTGTTTCCTTCCATTTCAGTTTTTGCACAATGTATTTTTGCAGCGCATTGTATAGCACTTAGATGAGCAATAGCCTTTCCCATTGGCATACGCCAGCTCCGCAGAAGCCCGATTATTCCTTGGACAGCAAGTCCTAGTGGAAACGAGGGCAAGGAAGAATTGCACTCTGAAGTGAGAACCTCCACAGCTGCTTGAAGAGGAGCAGAGAGCACATCCTTCTGGAGCCCCTGTGTACCTCCTTGGAAAACCAGATAAAATTCTGGCCAGAAGTGATATTATTTCCTTCAAAGAAGACAAGTCTCTTCTAAAACCCGTGACATCTGGCAGTGCTTCAACATAAAAAGTGGCAAATACTTTATGAAAAACATATTCTGTAAGCAAATGTTCACATATTCTATAAAAGTTGAATCAGACCGACGAGCCTTTTGGTTTTGTTGCACTATTTGACATCAATCTAGAAATTCCATCAGCACTTACGGCTCATGTTTAAACAGAAAGAAGGAAGTAATTGTATTTACTGAATGGAATAATAGAATCAGTGTAGCTTCTTTTGGGTTGCATACTCAGAGAACCAGTGACATTTAATTTATAATGACCATTAATATTTCAGTTTCAGGCTTCTGAAACAGCAAACACATTTACAACTGGTAAAGGAAGTGGCAAACAGGGAAATGAATTTGGAAACCGCAGGTAGATTTTTGGTAGCTGGAAAAACTGAGAGATGGACTAACTCTTGTATTTTTGTCACAAGCCTAGACATGGCAACATTTTAAAGCCACACAGTTGATGTTACAGATCAGTTCTTCATATTCTTGCCCCAACAGCTAGTGACCATTTGACGTTTAGTACTGCAATGCTCATTGGTGGTTGGAGAATTTGTTGAGGTACACAAATTGTTTATTAATCTAAGTGACACCCAGTCTTAGTCATTCATAAACTGTACCGCAGGGGAAGTTGTTCTCATTAAAACTTCTCATGGATACAGATGGGCTCTTGTAGAAACTGCTCTCAAATCCAGGTGTCATCCATCTGGCTCACGGCAACAAAAGCATTATAAATTATTTCTGAGAGCACTGAATTTACAATGTCTGGCTGAGACTAGAAGTTGCAACATTTTCCAAGTACATGGAATGAATGTAGCACAATTCTGCAGAACAATGAAATTCTGAAGACAGAGACAAAGAAAACACTGCCAGTAAGCTGCAAACCAAGGGCTCTGGAGCCAGCAGCTGGTGAAAGGCTGGGACAAAAGGAGTACGGTTTTTCTGAAATGAGAGGGGGCTTGATACGTTTCTAGCGTGAGTAAATTCCAGAGGGAAGGACCTGTACCAGAGAACATCCTGTTCATGCTTTATAAACTTTGTACCTTGAAAATCCTTTGGTTAGCGATAATTAAGTCAATTCAGCAGTATACATTCATAGATTTGGGGATTGGAAATGTTTTATAGCCTTCTATTAGCCCCTACTTTAAAAGATGGAACTAAGTGTTTCTTCTTACTTGTTTTTGTCTCATATTAAAAACATTTCCCTGCCAAAATAAGATTGAAATTAAAGCACAAAACCTTTGTATATTATACCTTAACATTTAAAAATTCCAAATGCCTTTATATCTACTGTGCTTACATTTTTGCACCCATGTTACAGCCATTTTCTAGACACACTAGGCCCAGTGCTACATTAGCGACAGTATGAGCAAACTAGAAGAATGCAAACGCCAGCTCAGAATAGAGCAGCACAGCTACTGCTCTGACTCCTGTACAGAAAGCGCTTCCTGGCTAGGAAGAAAAGGGGCTGTTCGATGAGCCCATGCGATGAAGCTCTGTTCCCAAAGGAAGAAGGCAAATTAAACAAGCCTCAACTCTATGCTACTGCCTGCTTTCTCCAAGTAGAAATGAGGCATGATGGTGAGAGACTGTGTGTCTCCACTTTCCATTTTCTGAGTGGGAAGGGGCAAGCAGAGCTGCCTGTGCCCTCATCCCCATTTTGAGGCTTTCCCACACTTCACAGCTTTCCTGATTCACAGCATTAGCTCGCAAGCAGTGGTCTCTGCTCTGTCCTGCTGGTAACTAACTTATGGTACAAACACAATTCCACAAAACAGACTAAACGAGAACATTTGTTACTAAAAATGAAAAGCGCTGTTTTGCAAAGTCCAGCTGGCAATACACAGTTAGTAAGTCTGCCTGGGTAATCTTAATTTGGCCTTCTTGTGGGTAGGTCTAGGACACAATCTTCATTTACATGACTATTCATCTTTCTGCCCAGGGAGATGAATCGAGCTGGTCAAACAGAGGATCCTATTGTCTGGAGGATCCCTTGCCTCCTTTGTTGCCATAATTGTAGTGCATGTAATGAAGGAAGAAAGATAAAGACGGAAGAAGGGGGATGTGCTGTAGTGAAGACAGCAGAATACTGCTCTGGAGAATTAGTTTCTTTTCATGTCTCTGCTATAAAGTTTCTATGTGACATTATGTCCATAAATCACATGAACCAACCCTTTCTCAAATGTTCATTAACTGGGTACTCCTCATTCAACGGGCGTCCGAGGTGAAGTACAAAATTACCAAGCATTTTCTGTTGCAACCAAGGAAAATGAAAGCCAGGTTAAAAACCCACAGTATAAAAAGCCAGGTCTACCAACTTCAGATTGAAAATCCCCAAATGACTGACAGCCTCTTATTTTAGTCTCACTATATATCTCTTCACATCAGTAAGATGGGGTCATGCCATACACTGAAAACAAAATAACTGAGGTTTATGAAACACATAGTGCAGAAAGAAGTCACATTGAAAGGCTGAGCCATTTTTTGTGATGATCAAGGTCTGAGGGATATGCAGTATCACAGAGCCAAGCAATGAGTAAAAAGGATAAAGCAAAATACTGCAGCACTAAATTGCTTCAAGTACTCCCTATACGTACTCCTTACTCAACTGCCTGTCTCTACGTTCAGTTGTGTATGTACCTGTACATTCTCACAAGCACCCTGCGCATGGTGTAACAGCAGCCTTCTAACGGGTGATTCACAGACCTATTGTGATTGCAAGGTGATTTTTTTCCTCTACTTTAGGTCAACAGAGGAGAACAACTGCGTAACACTAGTGCTATTGTCACTGTGGCATTAAGTAGGAAAGACGGTATCTTGGCCTGAAAGATATGATGGAATTTACACCAAAACACCCGGAAAAGCTCTGAAGAGCAGGCAGTATCTAGAGGATGAAGTACATGCCTAATTGCACACAAAGAAAAGTAGCAGGAATACAGAGCAAGGCTCCTGGCTTTATACCAAACAGGAAAACAGCATTGTCAACGTCATTACAACTGGCTCAGGCCTAAGACCTGTGTCTGACCTGTCGCAGGAGAGATGTCAGGATTTCCTCCCAGTGGTACTGCTCTCCGAACTCACAGAATCCGAACTCACAGAATCCACAAGGACGTTGAGGTAGTAGCTGTGGGTTCTTCATACTAGCCTGGACTTGCACATAGGGTTTAGGTGCCTGTGCA